CTAATAACGTTGTATCTTTTAAAAAGGAAAATTTATGTATTATTACATTGTAACAGTTTTACAAAAGATACACTTTTTCACGTATTTATGTTTCTCTAAGGTACAAATTGGGAGAATGATATTAAATAAATTTAAAAAAATTATTATTGCAGCAAATTATACAGGGTGTTTGAAAACATGGCGGAAAATAAAGGGTGTGAATCTTTGGATCATTTTAAGAGAAAAGGTTTTTGTTAACACGAGTCCGCAAACGCATTGTTTTCGAGGTAAAGGGTGTTAAGAAAAAAAATATTTTCAGTTTTTTGACAATATCTCAAGAACCCTTTGAGATACAGAACACAAATCGTCACCTCAGAGTTATACAGTTGTATGTAGCATTTTTGTCATTTTTTAGTTATTAGCGCTATAAAGTTGTATGTCGGTTAAACTTTTTTTCTGTGGAGGCACAAAGTTGTATCTTAATAGTTTTGATGCAGGCAACCAGAATTACAAAATTGTATGCATCCAATACAACGTTTTTACGGTTGCATAGTGGTATGTGGTACTTACACTCTGTTAACCTCAAGAATTTTATTATCTTTCGGTAACAAAATTGTATGTGTCACAACAACTACATTGTTATTTTAAATATAACTTCTGTAACCATGAAATTTTATACTCCTGGTCATTCATGTAACCAAGAAATCGATTCTGTACATAGTTGTATTGAAAGGATATTAAATAAAACGGAGTATTATTCACCCTTATCTCTGTTACGAATTCTATTAAAAGTGAAAAACCGTATAAAATTATCCAATTAAAGGAAGATGATTTTAAAGATTATAAAGCATGTGCTTCTTTATATAATTACAAATCCGTTCCTTTTAGCCACGTCGTTGCCTTAAAATTCACGCAATCTCAATTTGAAGTAGAATATAAAATTAATCATGCACTAGAAAATTGGAAAAAAGTTTGTATTCGTGATATCCGACCTACAAGATCTGATGCTGCAAGAACCAGCAATAAAATGCAACTCCCATCGCGTTTATCTTTTAATGAATCCATTCCCGAAAATAAAATACAAGCTCTCAAAAGTATGTTCAAATGGATGCCTGAACATATTATACAGCAATATTTCCAAAATAATTTTCCTCTGCTCTTAATTTTGTTATATTAAATGTATTTCTATGAATAATGTGTTAACTTTTTCGAAAAATATCTGTTAGGATTGCTTTTTTTTACGTTTATAAAAATGCAAAGTTGTATGTTACAGGCAATTTTGACAATAAAGATTTTTATTGAGATAACATAGTTGTATGTTTTTTTAATATCTGAATTTTAGCAAAAAAACCCAAAGTTTTGTACATGATTCTTAGTAACTTGTACTAAAATCTAGCTAATTTAATTGTATCAAAAATGTATCTTTAGCACTGCCGGAGTTGTAATAACCAAAATTTTGTTTTTCGTTTTTCTCAAAACTAGGTTCAGTGCACATACAATAGTATAATTCTGAGGTGACGAAATGTTGTACTCGTATTATCATTAATATTAGCTACTTTTAAGCGCTAATTCAATTTTTATTCATATGTTGCCACTTTAATTCATATTTTCCATTATAAAATATCATTTATCCTGAAAACGGTTCTAGTTAGAGCTTCTGATGATGAGTATCTTTTTTGTGTAGAAAACATTGGCGGTTTGAAATAAGCTATTAAAATGGAAATTTTGCCAGAATCGCAAAAATTAGGGGCAAAAGAACCTCTCGTAGTCCTAAAACTCCGTCACTGTCACATGAAAAAAATTGAATTAGCGCTCAAGACTAGCTAATATTAATGATAACAAATGTACAAAATTTGAGTTTTGTATCTCAAACGTTTCCTGAGAAATCGTCAAAAAACTGAAAAAAAAATGTTAACAACTTTTTTTCTTAGAATGAGCTAAAGAATCACACCTTTCATTTTCCGATATAAGTTTACGTGTACAACGGAAGACCACAGATTTGTGGACTCAAAATCGGCAGATTTAGGCTAATTCACCTATATCCGAAGTCGCTTTGTTTGATCGCTAGATGGTCTCAAAGTTCGTGAATATTTTTTGAATTTTGTAAATAACTGTAAATATGATTGTATTAATCGATTTTGTTTATTTTTGGAGTGTGGACTTTTGCTTTCAATCTACAAATTTTGATGTTATACAGAGTGTTTTTTAAAATTCACAATTCCTACAAAATTGATGTATGGTGATAATATCCGTTCATAACTTTTTTCTCCTTTGAGCAATAATGACAACTATTTTTTATTTGATAGGTGATACGATTTGGAAGTTTTTGGGCCTCTTGTAGAATTTTGATTAAAGGTTTGAGTACCTACAACAAAATATTTTTTAAATGTATACATTATCTTGCCACTTATATTACAATACTAACTAAGTGCTAGTAGGCTTTGGTTTTGTAGCTTGACTGTAATTATGTCATTATTGTCCGAAAGAGGAAAAAGTTATGAGGCCATCTAGCGACCAAACAAAGCGATTTTGGATATAGATGAATTAGCTTAAATCTGCCTATTTTGAGTTCACGAATCTATGGTCTTCCGTTGTACATGTTATTCTGGGACACCTTGTACAGGTATCATGCAATTTATCTAAAGAATCAAAATACCTACCTACTTATTTAAATGATACAATAATGTCCCTATAATTCATTTACAATGTTTGGATAAGTTTGCTATGACGTCATAATGTGCTATGGTACAGTGTTGCCAGGTTGTATTTTTTTTTTCAGGAGATTTAAGAACATTTTTTTTTATAGTGAATACAATATATTTTTAACATTTATTTGTTTCCATTCGTTGAATCATATTTTATGAGTATTTATTCATCAATAACTTCACTAACGCCGACTAAAATGAATCATATTATCTTAAGATTGATATAAATTTAACATTTTAATACCTATTTCAACGAACTCTCTTTATACATTTCATAAGTAACATTCCAAATTGCAGTCTTGTTAAAATCATCAACATCTAAAATTCATTTTTCTAGTTAATGTTTCTTTTTTTTTGGTGGACTTTTAGGTGGTTCATTGTTATGATTAACCGCAACATGATTGACTGTTGACTCATTCGAATGCAAAGTCTTCGCAATTCTCTGAAACAAAAAATATTAACAGAACATAAAATTTGTACTTTTATCAGACATAACCTAACAATTTTGACATGAAATTTAAACATTGTTAATAATATTTAAAATACAGTTCATAATTGGTGTAACAAGTACAACTTACGTCTTTTACTGCGGTAAGTGGAAGAAGTGACCATTTTCAGGTTTAAAATTCATATTAGTTTATTAAAAAACCCACTATTTTTTGCTATTGAAAATAATGTAAAAGTCAAATGCTTCTCAACTGTCGATTTTAACGATTTGAATTCAGTGCCTGGTCGCATAATGTGGTAAACCTAAAACAATAAAATTTCACAGTTTGACGAGGGTTAACGCGCTATAGAGTCGGCATTTAGGATTATTATGTCGGCTACATTTAATAATCAAACGTGACACCATTGCAATCATAAATAGGCTTTAGTACTTAATTTTGCACGCTTTTTTTTATAAAGTCTTTATCACTCAATGTTTAATTTAAAAAAATAATTTACACATTTGTGTTAATACTGGAGAAAACGGTAAGAAGTTTGAATTATTCTTAGGTCTATTTAACTATATGAGAGAGCATGTAAATCAAACAGTTGAGACTTATTTTCTCCTACAAAATTAATTTGTAATTTAAAATAATGCAGCTACCTATTAACAAAAAAATTCTTCATTTAATTTCTTAGGAAAACGCGTTACTGAGATCGTTCACTCATTTGAAGCCTTTTTCTCTCGAAGAAAATTTTGTCTTCATTCCTGTGTCAAGGCATATTTTGAGATGAAATATTTGAAGTTTTTCGAGGTAATGACCAGCTCTTTTTAATTATTAAACTAAAAACAAAATATAGTGTATGAAAAACAATAAATAAAATAGATCTTAAATAGTGATCTAGTTTTGCGACGTCTGCGTTTAAAAGTGAAGTTCTATACCAATTTTTTTTCAGTAGTTCCAAATTAGAAGCGTCGGGAATAGTTTACTCTGTATATCTCTTCTAAAATTTAAAACGTCGCGTCGTCCCCAACCACAACGACTGCATATGACGAGCATTTTGACCCCTGACAATGCAGCACAATTTGGGACAGTCGTTTATCTAGCGTCTAGTTAAAACCAGTTGCCTACGTCAAGAGAAACTTCGTCAAACTACGTTCACATTACTGCATTTGTTTATGACATGTTTTAGTTATCTCGCACAAGCTTTTACGTAGGTAAATAAAATAAGATAGAGATAACAATGTTTAATCGCCAACAGTGAATTTTACAGTGAAGAAACTGGTATTAGCGAATATTAATAACATCTGCATTTAAGAGGGGGAATTCTGCAATGCAGATAACATGAGGGAAATCTCTAAATAATAAAAAACAACTGCATGATACCATAGATCCTTATACAAATATGACGACACTAAGGTGTAAACTAGTCATCTACATATTATCACAATTTTGAGACTATTAGTCAGCGTTGGCGTGTCTACATGGTATTTTCTGAGTCTGTGTGTCTAAACTAATCCATATCTAAGGATATGGATTAGTTTAGAGCAAAAAAAATGTATTGTCTAAAACTACTGAGCTTTTGATACTTATTCCCCCAATGATTTTAAACTCTTGATCAATTAGAGCTTTTTGTTGCAAATGAATACAAGGAACGGTCCTTCGTGTAACAACAAGCGTAACGCTTTATTGAATCTATGTAAAACTATATCTACATGTCAACTGAGGTTCCCATTCATTTTACATTGTTTGCAGATAGCATATTACCACGTACTGGTTAGTACTACAAATGGCCGTAATTATTATGTTAGACGTAGTTAATTATTCATTGCAAATATGTATTAATATTATGAATATTTTGTGTTTAATTATTGACCCTTCTTTCCAGAAAATGCCACAAGAGACTGCATGTGGAATGGCACGTGGTCTAAGTCGAACTACTCGACCTGCAAGGAAATTATCATTCTTCCTGAGGGTATCGAGACTCAAACTACCATCTATTTCGTCGGATATACTCTCAGTCTGATCACCCTCTCAGTAGCCATAGGAATTTTTACTTATTTCAAGTAAGTATACAAGACCTTGAGGCTGTGAAATCAATATTTTGAATATTTTTTTTTATGTACAATAAAATAAATAATAAAGATGACATAATATTTATATCAGTAAAGACATATGAAATATTTATGAGATAGGGACATCTAAGAAGGAAAAGGGGAGAAAGACAGGAGAATTCAAGACGGCTATTTTATACATAAATATTAAGTCATCATGTACAAAAATGAATAATTTAATCCGTTTCGGAATATCAGATGAGCTCATGTTTCGCAAAATGGAAAAATAAACCTTTACGTATTTTTTTATCCGAGCTTGTTTCCCTCGGGATTACTTCATACTTTTATCTGATAAATAAGGGAAATGGTCTACGTTTTAATTTTTTACAGTATAATTACTTCACTGCTGCAGGAAACACGGTTTGTAAAAAGAAATAACATTAAGCGGTTGATTTCTGCAAATGATCCTTGTAGCACCTTTTGGTTTCAACAGTTTTGTGAAATAAATATTTGAATAGACCCTTCAACAAGGGAAAACTTCATCTCTTGATTGTTTGTTTCTTAAAATTAATACTTAACGTGAGATTTAAAAATAACTTCTCTTCAGTTTCCTTTGGCGTCAACATTGGAATGGATTTAGTACCTTTTACCCTCGAAGGAAAAGAAAAGTTCTTAAGATATTAAAGGTGTCCTCAAGACCTCTACACAATCAAATGTTAAAATTTTGTCAGCTTGGTTCTTGTACTACTATTACCTACCACAAGATGTCAAGATTTACATTTCACCATCATGCGTCAGTAGTTCCGTGAAATATATGTACTTTCTTCTCTTCTAACGGTGATCACGTGGATTGCTTGAGGAGGATTTCCTCTGATTAGTGGACCTCCTTTTCAGAAAGGTTTTTAGCTGAGAAGTGGTACAAGATTTTGTATTTACGTGAACCTTCTCGTCCGAGAGGTAAAGCGAGGGTAACATATGAAAAATTGTATTTAAAAGATACTCTTTATTTTCTGGATGTTTGTCCTTTGAGTTACCTTTATTTTTTATGCTTTCTAGATATAATTTTGGGGAGTTCAAAATGCCTCCAATCTCTTACGAGGAGACTCGCGTGTGCGAAATGGTCTAAATCTTACTTTCACGAATGAAGTTCCCCTGTTGTTTAGATTTATGTTTTTTTTTTGTTAAGAAAATGTAATAAAATATGAGAATTGGAATAAATAAAAGGTAGAATCAATAATAGATAGCTATAAAATGTTAATAAATTTATGAAAGCAAATAATAAATATATAAAAATCATTATGTAACAAGGCTAAACTAGGTTATGATACAAGTAGAGGTTTCGGATATAACTTGGCGAAACAGACTATAAGAGAACAAACAGATATTGACTTGTCAAAAACTCAAAAAGTAGAACCAAAAGCTAGATGAAATATTTCATAAATAATTTGGAATCGAATCGATTGTATGCGATTTTAATTAAAATTCAAAATCAGTTTGATTTTGAGAAATAATGACTAGACTAGAAATGACCTGAAATCTGAGCGAGTTGAGAATCGACTTCATTATTCTCTAAAATGGTACATGCTACCGAATTTCGACAAGTATACCTTTTTTTTGTAGTATCTTATAGACTTTACAGAACCGTTTAGAAATGTAATAAATTTTGACTTTTAACATATTTTTTCTTCGATTGTATCCCTTCAATTACATATATCGGCGACACTGTTTTTCAGAAAGAAACCGTTTACATATTATTCTTAACGCACAGTTGATGTTTACTCGTGTACAAATTTTGACATATTTATCTTTAGCCAATTTAAATATAATTAAGGGAAACTACTTGGAAAGTAACAACTTCAACAAGCTGTATCTCGAAAAGAGGGCGTCTAAGAAAAAAACTTTACATGAACTACCCCTATTATTTTCCCATGGGGAACTTCCACACAAATTTTTTTGAAACATGAACGGGACACCCTGCATATTACGCCAAACATAAAAGAAATTTCACTAGTTTCTCACGTATTTAGAGGCTAACCATCCCTCGATCAACAATCATATGAAAACTAATAAAACTACATACTGCTCATCAGAAAATTTGAGAAGCAATAATGCTCTTTGTTTGTTTCCTCAAATTTTTAGGAGAGATAAAAAATATTGTTTTGTATTTCCGCTAAAAATGGGTAAAAAATATAAAAAGGTTACATGAATCGACAAAAACAATAAGACAAACCTCAAAAGTAAAAAGAGCAGAAATAACTAAAAGAAGTAAAGAAAAGTCTGGCCCTCCACGATTCTGTCTCTGTTAGTTATGCGGAACATCCTGTATGTACATTTTATAAAGGACGTCAGGTCAGTAAATAAACAATTTTCCATCAAAAGACTTCAATAAATATAAAAAGTAAAAAATATGGCGCAAAGTCTGATCCGAATCACTTCTTTGGATCATCTAGTTCTAGTACATTAATTTTCAAAAAGGCATTTGTTTAGTAAATACAAAATTTTTCTTCAAACTATTTCAATAAATGAAGTAGGAGAAAGTAAAAAGTATAAGGAAAAGTCTGGCCCGGCCGAGATTTTGATCTGGGTCAGTTTTATTAAACATCCGGTATGTAAATATAAAATTTTTCATTAAAATACGAAAGGTAGAAAAGGTTAAAAGAATAAGGAAAAGTTTGCTCTGTCCGCGATTCTGATCCGGGTCAATTTTAAGAAATATCCATTTATAAAGATTCAAAAAGATATCTGGTTAATCAATATATACCATTATAGAGGATGTTAATGAACTTATGTCAAATATTTTTGCCACATGTCCGTTATGTCAAAATAAGGTAAATACACGGATTTGTGTTGAGTAAAACGTAATTTTAAAATCTAACTTACCTCAACCTCGAGGAGCCACCTTTTGAGAACTACTGATTTTCATAGAGGATGTACGATGTACCCACCATTTGTTTACACACAAGCTTCAGAGCGACGTATCCAATTCGCTCACATGCGTTGCAACATTGTCACGTCTTCTCGAATCGTTTTACAAGCCTCGGCAAAATACGATGTCGCAGTTGGTCGACGTCACGAACTTCCGTGGAATACACAACACTTTTCACATATCCCCACAAAAAGTAAGTCTAAAGGGGTGAGGTCCGGGGACAGGGGGGACCATCTAACTAGGCTGTCGTGGCCTATCCACCTATCGGGAAAAGTAATGTTTGGAAAGTCTCACACTCTCCGAAAAAAGTGAGCGGGGACTCCGTCATGCAGTAACCACATATTTTGCCGAACATTTAATGGCACGTCTTCCTTTAACTCCGGCAGGAGATTTTGCAAAAAAATTAGATACGAAGCACCATCTAAGCGTCTATAGTCTGTTTGGAAATGAAAGAGAGTAATAAAACCCCGAGATAAGAACCGGCCATGGGCGTTGTAATATTTCGTTTCAGGTAATTATCGGGTAACACTAATGCTAACAAAAATGACAGGGATTGGAAAATCGACTATCTACAGACTTTTAAAGGAAACAAAAAATGAACAAGATACTGTAAATCCCCCAAAATCATCTACAGGGAGGTCAAAAGTCGTTATAGATGATTTCTTCAAAAATGTCATTCGCAGAAAAGTACACTCATTTTATTTTAAAAAAGAAATACCAACGCTAAACAAAATTTTAAGTGAACTTTCAGAGGACAACGATTTGCCAAAAATCAGTAGAAGCAAATTATGGGCCGTCTTACGAGAGTTGAATTTTTGCTGGGAAAAGCAGAACAGGAAGTCAGTTCTTATCGATAAAGATGAAATTATTTGTTGGCGAAGATCCTACTTAAGATCAATTAGAAAATTCCGTGACGAAGGGAGGAATATTTATTATCTAGACGAAACTTGGGTCAACGAGGGATATACTGTAACAAAAGTATGGCAAGATAAAAATGTAAAAAGTTTTCGACAAGCATTTTTGGATGGACTTTCAACAGGGTTCAAGGCACCTTCAGGTAAAGGGCGAAGATTAATAGTGACACATATAGGTAGTGCCAGTGGTTTTGTAGATGGCGGTTTACTTTTATTTGAATCTAAAAATACAGGTGACTATCACGAAGACATGAACGCAGATGTTTTCGAAGAGTATTTTACACAGATGTTGGATCTTATTCCTCCGGGGTCTGTAATTGTCATGGATAATGCCAGTTACCATTCACGGCAGACCGAGCGGACGCCTACGACTGCTTGGAGGAAAGCCGATATAATTCAATGGTTATCCGGAAAAAACATTTCTTTTGAAACAAATATGGTGAAAAAGGAACTTTTGACACTTGTCAATCTTAATAAAGATCAGAAAAAATATGTTATCGATGAAATGGCAACAAATCGCCAAATAACGGTACTACGGTTACCACCTTATCACTGTGAACTTAACCCAATCGAATTAGTCTGGGCGCAGGTAAAAGGAGATGTAGCGCGAAATAATACGACGTTTAAATTAAGTGACGTGAAAATTTTGTTAAAAAATTCCTTGGAACGAGTAACTGCAGATAACTGGCAAAGATGTATACATCATGTACAAAAAGAAGAGGAGAAAATGTGGGAACTCGATAATTTAATTGACGTTACTGTGGAACCTATCGTTATCAATCTAGGAGACGAAGATAATTCATCAGAATATTCAGAGGATGAATTTTAATATACCTACTTTTTTATTTTCTTTATTGTACATTTATACAACACTACATTTACTCACCATAATTTGAATTTTCAAAATACATATATTTTTGTGTGGAATAAAAGTCTATTCATTAAATTTAAATAAATATTTTGATAATAATATTGAATAATTTTATTTGAATTACTAAAAACCCTCTTAACCCGGTTATGATGCTTAAAGTAGCCTCATGTTTTGAAATGCTGTTTTTATATTGTTTACTTATAAGAGAAATGGACCGAGAAATTGAAGCGGCATAGACAAAGACGGATTGTCGGGGATTAAATTTTAGCTACCTGCTACAATTTAGTACAGTCCGATCGCA